GACTTAGCATTCATTGTCACAAAGTGGAATTTAGAAAAAGGTGGGTACATCTTAAGACACATTTTAAGTGAGCACCCAAAGAGAATTTCAAAATCTCTCAGCACATAAACACTGGCAGGTTCTACTTCATTCTTTTCAACGGAGTGGTTTTCTAGTAAACTCTGTTTCAGTATTCTAAAGGGGATCATCCCAGGATCAGCACTGTATGGTTGCTTAGTCTGTACACTTTGCAAAGGCAACTGGGCAGGAATCCAGCCCACACCTGTCATGTAGCCACACGTCTCACAATCTGGGTTCGCATGGATGCTGTATTTTCATAATTTATATAAAAGCATTGTATAGTCTGTACCTGGCCCTCCCAAAGTATCTTGTTTTCTAAACCATCTTATATTTGAAAGGAATATGGCTGAATGACACATAAAGTAAGCAACTGTCTTGTTTAAATTTTCTGAGGTCATTGTTCTTTTATGTAAAATACCTGATAGATTTTGTTTGGATTATTAAATCTAATGATTATGTTCCAGCTGTCAAAGAAACGGTTTTAAAAAAAATCCAAAACAGACTTGCACGTGCAGGGGACTCTCCTTGTAAGAAGGCACTCCTTACCTACGACATGTGGTTTTGCTGTGTCTGTTGCTGCTGCTGCTGTTGCTGCTGCTGGATTAGCAATTGCTGCTGCTGCCGACGCCGGGCTGTCCGTAGCTTTTCAAAGCGAGCCTCCATTTCTTCCAGGACTTTCGGGGTGTATCGGACCACCAGCTTGACGCTGTCCTTAGCAGCCTTGAGTAGTTCCACAGCCTTCTCATGGTGCTCTCCTTCCACACTCTGAAAAGACAGTGGTGTCTCTTAAAGGGAGAGCCTTCTTGTTCTTTTGAGAGTCCAGTGTGACCTTAGGATCACAGTACAATCCCAGTTTGAAATGTCAACAAGATAATGGCAAATGGGATTTACTGCCATTGTTGTTGTTATTTGTTACATCTGGAGTTGAACCATAAGCAAGTCAGGCTGCACTAGGGCGGGAAAAGGATGGATTGAATGGAGGTTCAAGCTAGGAGGGTGAGAAACAATGAAGACCTAAAAGATAACACTACCACTTAGAAGGAAATGTCCAAATCTCATCTGGCAGAGTGAATGCCTTCCTCAGAAAACTTCGGAAAAAAATTTAAAAAGAGCACTAAAGGGTGACTTTTCCTATCAGATATGAACATTTATTAAGAATCTACACTGATTAAAGCAGTGTCTTACTGGTGTAGTAAGAGATAGTAGAACAGAACAGAGTCCAGAGGCAGATCCATCATATTTAAAACTTTATTATATGACAAATGTGGAATTTAGACCAAAGGGGAAAAGGACTGTTAAATAATGATGCTGGAACACATAATAATTAAATGATACAAAATAATGTGGATCCCAATCTCATAGTCTATGCCAAATATAACAAGCTGATTAAAAATTTTAATGTAAAAATAAAACCATGAAACAATTAAAATGAAGTCAATGTTCATCATCTTGTGATGCAAAAACAATTCTTAAGAAAAAATGCCAGGAAACCACTCCCATTTGAAAATTGTAAGTTTCTGTATCTCACACACCATAAAAAGGTCAAATAACAAACAAAAAGTATTTTAAATATATGACAGTCAATCTGTTAATAGTCTTTGAATGAAGAGCTCTTACAAGTCAATAAAGATTTAAGCAACATGGGCAAGTGAACTCACAAATAATTTTTTTTAAATGACCAATAAACCTACGAAAATATATCCAAGCTTCCTAGTAATCAGAGACATACAGATGAAAAAAAATTTCACTTTTAATTTTAAAATGGTAAAGATGTATTTTTAAATATGGTGTATTGACAAGAATATAGGGAAAAGGGATTCTCATATGCCCTAATAATGTAACAAAAACTGGTACCATTTTTCTGGAGAGCACTATTGTTATGCAATGACTAAATCCTTTATAAACGAAGACTTCTACTTTTGGAGAAATTTACTAAGGATATAGTCGGATATGCACACATACCTATAAAACAGATGTAAGAAAAAGCAAAAAACTAAATTAATTCTTGGTTTCTGAGTTTCAAAATACTTTTTTGAACATCATGGCATAGATAATAGTTGGGGAAACTATGTTTACTACAAGTAAACTCAAAGAGGCTTCTCCAAACCTTCTCAAGTTGGGATTAGGGAGAAGCAAAACAGAAGGAACTTGTAATCAGACATTATAGAACCTTGAGAAAAGGAGATAGTCCATCCCTCTCAGCTGATGCACAGGGCAGATGACATAACCCCTGTTTTATAGGATCCAAGTGCAAAGGCCTTTTGACTTGCTTCCTGGGTAAAGCCCAGAGAAGAAAGGTGTATGTGATGTGACAGAGGACTGAGACAGGCTTAAACACAGCCAGAACACGGAGAGTGCCACTGAAGCGGCAGAGAAGGCCGCCTGAAACTGGCTGCGATTACATTTTCACAACCCAAGCAGAAGGGAGACTAAAATGAATATTATATTGAGTTACAAAAAATAATTTGCATTTCAAGCATGCTTAAATTATATCTTGAGATTCATTAGTGACTATTATACAGATTTGGAGACTTAAGAACTGGTGTTACATTATTTCTATCATTTGCTTCAGCAAGGTGGGTGTGGATTGAGAAGGTAAGAAAAAAAAACTTTTAATTTTGCAATGAGACAGTCATCAGTGGCCTTCAGTCATCTGTCTGAAAACCAGGCAGATACTAGGGGTTTCAGAAATGACTGCAGAGAGCCCAAGAGGCAACTTATATAACGACTCGTTTGCCAAGTCTGGGTTAAATAGAGACCAAGGGGTTACAAATAGCTGATGAGCAGAGTGCATTTTTATCTGTGGCTGAAGCCTAAGAAAATATGCTTATTCATTGATTAACTCATTCCTTTAATTATTTACTCAATCATTGACTTGGTCACTCAACAGACGTTTATTGAGCATTTATTCCACTAGTTACATTCTACTAAGTTGTTCCGAAACATGGAGATGGGAAACTTTGACAACTTCATACCATGTAAACTCTGTTTTCAGTGTCCTGGCAATTTCTTTGTAATTTGCCCCAAGATGAATTGTTAATGTACAGAATTCTCCTTTAATTCTGGGTGATTTGCTCATTCACATCCTTCTCTAATTTCTTTCCTAATATTAAAACTTACACATTTGTATGTTTTAGTAACAATGGTTCACCCATTTTCCGGGCCAGATGATTAGTCTCCAGACATCTTTTTGGCTTTTGTTCTATTTGCTTTCATTTATCAGGGTTGGAAATTCTAGGCCAGACCTTTAGAGGCCCATTATCCCAGATTAGGCACTCTGCCTGCAATTTAGAGTTGCCACAGGAGGGCTGTGGTACTAATACCCAGGACCAAGAGGCTCTCACTACAGGGAATGGCTGAGAGAAATATGGCTGGTGGGGCATACTCAGCCCTGCAGGGTTACCTCTCCCATCCCCTCACAGTTAGCAGTTTATAAAAAGCAGACTGTGCAGTCTTTGAATCCAGAATGTCTGCCTCAATGTTCTATCTTTGGTTTAGACCACGACTCAGATTCTTCTGGGCTCAGCAGAGTTAATGGGTCTCCTGGTCTGACTCTACCTGTCACTCTGTCTTGCCCATCAGGGCACAGAACCCACATGGGATCTGGTCATGCTTTCCTCATTTCTACTACTAACAATCCTGTGTTGAAAACAACACAAATTCGATGATTAAGCAGTATAATAGAGACTAAAAGGTAACTCCTAGAGATTTGAATATAAACATGTTTGTACAATGTATCATTTCAAACACTCAACTTTGATTTTTTAACTGTTTTCAGAAAAATATCTTAATTCTCATCTCAAGGATTGTTCTGTGTAGCTCTTTTTTCCACTGGCTTTGCCTACTTTACAAATACTTTTGAGGGCCTATGTTTGTCTTCTTAACCTACAGTTTATCTCTGTAATGCTTTTAGTCCTTCGGTAGAAATTTTTAATAAGAAGGCAGTTTTCTTTCCTTTCTTTCCCTTTTAAGGTAAGAACAAAAGAGCAGAAGACTCTTCCATGGAATTCTTGTTCCATGCTTAAACGAAAGCCAAGCTTTCTGCTCAGTTAGGGTATACATGTTCATGTACAAACACTTGCCAGTAGGTATTCCTTTAGCCCTGAAAGTTAATCATTTATTCCTACTTTTAACTTAGTCTGTTTCTCACTCTTAAGGAAAATATGCCTTATATCAAGCTAAATATTTAAAACATGTTTTGAAATGTAATAGTTTTTTGTAAATAGTTCAGCTGTTTCTATCACAGATATATATATATAAATAATATGAAATATAAATAATACAAAATATATATAATATAAATATGTATTTATATTTGAAAAACCCTCCGGACTCAGGAATTGTCCTTGATAACAATGAACTCAGCTGAAGCAGTCGCGGAAACCTGTAGCACCAGCTTTTCATACAGGATGAAAACGTGGCCCTTATGTGATTTGAGGAGACCTAAGAAGACTTCCAATTTTAAAGTGAAATCCCCATCCATTAAAAAACCTGAAATTCTGTATTTTCTAAAAGAAATTCTATACTTTTAGATTTCATCATCTTGCTTTAAGAGTTCTGTTGTACCTGCTGCAATCTGAGGCAGTCATTAGCATGGGTTAATTTAACAAGGCTTTCCAAGAGACATCTGGTAAAAGCTGGATGTCATTAAGGAGGAGAAGGGTGGTGAAGAAGGCATGGGGGGTATACAGGGCATCCAGGAAATACTTAGAGCAAAGAGAAGTGGTCCTAAAAGACAAAAGCCCCTAAAGAGAAATATTACCCCACAGTTGTGCCTGGTCTGGCCATGAGCCTTCACCAAAATGAATTAAAATGTACAAGGAAGAATGGATATTCCCATCCTGAAAATATTTCTTTCCCTGCTAAATTTTTTAAAAAATACACAGAGAAATCAATACGAAAACGAGAGTTCAAATGTTCTTATTATCATTTCCAAATGCATAAATACAAACTAAAAAAATACTAAAATGATTTTAAAAAACCATAAGAAATGAATCTTCTATAATGTTAATATATAAGACTATATATTTTCATTCAAGAAGCCAGGAAAAATTAGCTTAGTTAATAACCAGAAACATACTTATTAGTAAATTCATGCAGGAAGTAGTAAGCTCCAGGAAGCTTTAAAGTTAATTTGAATGAAGTTTAGCAAACCAGCAGCTGGTAAATGAACTAACTTTTAAACATGACTGCATTCTGATCTTTCAATCTTTTTTTATTTCTACGTATTGAGTTATCAAAATGGCTGCTGTTTCTTGGTATGTTCAACATCCTGCTTGATTAAAAATCCTCTCTAATAAGAGAGAACTTTGGATTACACTGCATATCTGAATTTGCTCATGATCTGTGCTCTCTCCCCTGCTACTGAGAAACTAGTTGCTAAATTTTGACCTTGGCTAGAACTCAGATGGAAGAAATGCCTGCCCTGAAAAGGAATCTTGTTATCTGTGCACAATCAGTTGCCCAGTGGCTGTTGCCTAGGTCTTTACTGTGGCTCCTTCTCTGTGAGGATTACGCAGACATAATCCTGACCCAGTTCACTGATAGATAAGTTGCTTAAACACTGTTAGATAACCAAGAGCTGGCTCTACCTCTCAGTTATTATCTGTATGAATATCGAGAGCTAGGTTTACGCATAGGCTCCTAAATGACAGCAGTCATTCCTCTGGATTAACGACCAAATAATGTTATCAGGGAATAAATGATACCAAGGATATTGGGTTATGATAACTTAGTGCAGTTAAGTAGCTCAGAAACTCAGAACA